TTCAAAGTTGACAAACCCAAAGCATTTTGACTTTCCATCTGCATCACGCATCACAACAGCACTCGTAATTTTCCCATATTGACTAAAAATCTTATTCATGACATCATCTGAGGTTGCCTCTGCAAGATTTTTCACAAAAACATTAGTGAATTTGGCCTTGTCAACGGCATTTTCTCTTTCTTGCCTTCGCTGAAAAGGGCCCACATAGACTTGCTTGTCATTCAACAGCATGCCATTCAGCTTCTCTATGGCTTTTTGAGCCGACTCCTCAGTCTCATACTGCACAAAACCATGTCCTTTTGACTGCCCAGATGAATCAGTAGCAATCTTGCAAGACAGGATGGTCCCAAAAGTAGAAAAGGTATCATACAATGCTTTGTTGTCTATGGCCTTATCCAAATTCTGAGTAGGAAGAAAAATAAAGATAAGACAAAACCGAAATGAAGAAAGCTGGAAAGGTGAACAAATGAAAATAAAAAGACCCCTTGTATGATATAGAGGAACCATTACCTTAATAAAAATGTTTCCAGCCCCACTTTTACGGACACTAGGATCACGGTGAGAATACATTATCCTGATAGGCCTGCTGTTGAGAGGAGTGAAGTTCAGGACATCTATCGCTCTTGCAGCTGAAAAGAATATGCAACAATGGGAAGTTAAACACATTTTAAAGATAAATGCAAAATCTCCAATCAATTTGAAAATTCAAATTAATAAAAAATACTCATTCTAACAATCCAAACCAATAAACGTAAAATTGTTTCAAAACCTAAAATATTTAAAATCTCAATAGCTAAACCTATCTATAAAGATTGAAAGAGTGAATTTCACAAATCCACTAGATTATATTACACCATACAAAATTCTGAGCAATTAATACCAAACCTCAAGCATGTTAATTCAACTCTAAACAAGTCAATAGTTAAATAAAACATGCAGAGTTCGAAAAAACCTGTAAAACATCGGTAAACACAAAAATAAAAATAAAAAAATATAGAAAAGATTAACATTTACAACAATAGCATCTAACTGTTTAAAATCAGAAAATTCATCGAGCTATCCTCAAATTATAAGCGAACCTTCTTTTCCTATATTCATACATCGAACAGCATAACCTTTAAGTGAAATTATACTTATTTCTTCCCATTGCTGAAATATTAATTAATAAGAAGTTAAAATAATTATAAAAATAAACCATTCCTCAGAATTCTCACATCAACAGAAATACACCTAAAATTTGAACCTCTGACAAAGCAAACTACATTGAATGCCACAATATGTTATCTGCACTATAAAAAAAAGGTCTTGTTCTCCAAACGCCTAAGAGTTACCTTTCAAATACTTCTTTCAGTACTAAATAATGTTGACAGAAAGTCAAACTATATGCGACTTGGGCCAATCCATATCTATACCATGAACCACAATGCTACACTTCAACACGATGCCTAACATTTTCTCCTTTCCTCCTGAAATTCTAATTGCCACAAGCAAGGTCAATCCATGGTCACTGTCAATTAGTATGCACAACAGATGCTAATCCATTCTATCGACCATCATCAGCACCAAGGTTACTCACCCTACCACAATCCAGCCTTCTAAAGTGTAAAAATATTTTTGCCAGCCAATTCCACACAATTTACATGGATTTTCAATTCAATTGATTGACAAACTTTGAACAATTCTTGTGTGAATACAACAAATTCCTAAGAATCCTCAAGGCTACATGTAGAAGATCACCCTAGACCCCCTTACAATAATCCCCGTGTATAGACTTTCCTTGAAGAAAAACCACAATCGTGCTACACCACTAAAAGATGAAATTCACTTTTTTAAATTCAGGTCACCCAATTATTGAACTAATTAATGTCACTTCATATGCAAATCAGCTCACACAATTCTACCTCTAAAACAGAAACTTCAGTCAACAAGTTGCAGATTGTTCACAGTCAATGCCAGACGATTTTCCATCAAACTGACAGAACGAAAACCATATTCAACCCAATATAACTTATTCATAGTCAATGTGACCGAGCAATTCCAATCCAATTAACAGCTCAAACGCAATCCTTTCCCTTGAGTACTTGACATTAACCCCATCTAAGACCATTTCTAAATCGACATGCACTGATTCAAAAGGTCAAAACAACAATCCAACTCATCATCATCAAGCACACAAACACCAATCAATCAATAACTCTCTAAAATCTAACAACCCCATCAAAATCTAACAAAACTACAGTTCAAATTACACAAAATTCAACCAAAAATAAACAAATTTATCATAAAAAAATTGGGAAAATAAACACATAAAAATTAAGAAAGCAACTAACCATCTTGTGGGTTAGCATAATTGACATAACCATAACCAAGTGATCGACGAGTTGCCAAATCCCTGCAAACCCTAACCGAAACCACCTGACCCAGTTGATTGAACACATCATACAGCTGTGAATCACTCACATTCACATCCAAATCACCCACATACAACGACGTCGTAACGAACTGTCCCGCAGCCGCCGCAGCAGCCCCACCAGCAGGAGCCGCCGCACTACCGCCTACTGCGGCCGCAGTAGCCGCCGGAGCCCCGCCATTCGCTTGAACCTGAGGTTGAGCCATTTTTTCTCACTCCTAAAAACCCTAAAACCTAAAATTTAGGAGAGAAGGACAAAAATAAATTAAGGGCTTTTTTCGTTTTTCAAAATTTTCAATTTTTTTCGGTTTTTTATATAAACCACTTCCCTCTCCTCTGATTATTCGGCAACAAATCAAACACAACAAAATAAATTTTTGTTTTTTTCAAGATTAACACGAAATTTTTTTAGGTTTTTTTTCTGGGTAATTTCTAATAACTTTTTTTTCGATTTTTTAAGATTAAGAGAGATAAAGAGAGGAGAGGGAAGGGTGGAAATGAGGGTAATTAGGGCGGAGTTCGCCGGAGATAGAGGATCGCGCCGCCGGAAACGACGGCGGCGACGACGGAAGAGAGAGAAAATAAGAAACTTTAAGAGAGAGAAAGTAAGCAACTGGTTTTAGAGAGAGAAAACTAAGGGTTTGTTTTCTTGAATAAATAGAGAGGAAGAAGATGTTTTTGACCGTAGGATTTGTTTGTGAGATGGGATTTGAGCCGTAGATTTTGAGGGTACGTGGGGTCCGGTGTTTTGCTGACGTGGTCACTTTTTTTTTTTTTTTTTTGAACTTTCAAGAAACTTTTAAGTTTTTTTTTTTTGTTTGTTTAATTAGTTTTTTGGTAATGAGGTTTTGGAGTGTTTTGACAGTTGAAATTTGGGAATGTTGCCCATTTGCTGACAAGCCATGGTGGCATGGAATTTTTTTTTTTGTAAAGGTCGGCAAGATGGATTGACCATTCTTCTACTTGATTTAAAGTCAAATTAGGGGGATGTTGAATTGTTAAAATGTACCAAGTAAAAAGTACTAATATATATGAACAAGGTAGATCATGGTGTAATATCTAAGTTTGTTTGCGTAAAATGCTTTATCAACTTATATTACGGAGTTACAAATCTTTCAAGTCATGAATCAATATAATCGCTTTCAAATATCGGTCTAGATGATTTAACCATGTACGTGATAGCTCACAGTTGGCGCTTTTATATGTGTTGGTGGCAAATCTTTGTATGATGAAGGAGCTCACAAGTAACTAAAGGAAATAAATTTCGAAAGAAGTTTATTAAGGACTACTTTAATTGTATGAGCGTAATTGTGTCAACAAGGTATCTTAACAAAACAAATTTGAGTATAAGGATATAAGTTTGTTTGCGTAAAATACTTTATCAACTGATATTAAGGAGTTACACACCTTTTAAGTCATGTTTTGAATCAATATAGTTGCTTTCGATTATCTGCCTAAATGATGTATCATGTATGAACAATTGGAGATTTTATATGCATCAGTGGCAAATTTGTATGATAAAAGGGTTCGCAAGTAACTAGAGGAAATAAATCCCGAAAGAAGTGTGTTAAGAACTACTTGAGTTGCATGGGTGTCACATGTAATTTTGCTGATGTGAAAGTTTAATATTCAATTGATAATAATAGGTAGAAAATCTTTTTAGTCACTCTTTTTCAACCATGTTGCTTTTTATAATTAAGCAAGCTCATTATCATCTAGGCACAAATTTCTCAAAGACAAATAATCCACTTGATATTAGGAGCACGCTAAATCACCATACTAAATAAAATAAGAGGACAATGCCTTGAGTTCATTAACAATATTATGCTACTTAGACTTTGTTGTTTACATGTTTAAAATGCACGAGTAATAAGGTGTTAACGAGACGAGCGTGCTCACAAATTATTCGATACTTAACTCGATCAAAACTCAGTCCAAGCTCGACTTGAATTCAAGTTTGGTTCAAATTCAATGAACAAACAAAAAATGCTTAATAAAACTATGTTTAAATCATCTATGGAAGACCTAAATGTATACGATGCGTGATTTAATTTCAAAATGTGAGATGATACATAATTAATTAACATTTCAATTTCAAAAACGTACATGAAAAAGTACGAGGAATTATCTACCTATAAGAATTTGAGTCATGAATACTCTAATCACACGCGTTGGTATTAAATTATACTTTAGATGGTCATGATACAAAAATACTTATTCAGCAGTCGTACCAACAAATGCAATATTGACTTGTTGGTATCGATATTATTTCATTATTAGGATTTAGAAGGTACTATCTTGACATAATATACTACCAACATTGTGTTATTAAAGTTGTTGATGACTCCCGTCAAAAAAGAAAAAAAAAAGTTGTTGATGACTCAAATTAATTAAGGTAAAAAATTCCTCAAAAATACACTGTATTTAAATTATTTTACAAGTAAGCACAATCCCGAGTTAATAATGTACTGTAATAGAGATTCAACAATTATGCACTCGTAGTCGTTAACAAATTAAGTTTTAATCCGTAAAAATAACTAAACAAAGGGGAATAGATTAGTGCAATATTAATTCATAATCACCCCCCAAAACCCCAAAAACACTGTCAGTTTGACAAATTTCACCATCAACCTTTCAACCATAAACCCATCTGATAAAAATGCTTATCCAGTCAATATGCCTAAGAAAACTGTGTGCTGCTACTCATACAACTGCAGCAATGGCTGCTGCAATCTCCCTTGCTCACTCCACCATCTTCCTTTCTAAACCTTCACTCTTTCTCTCCAGAAATCGTGTCGCCGCCTTCGCTTTCTCCACCTCTTCCGCCGTTTCTTCCGACAATCTTCGCACCAAGAAATGGCGGCAACCTGTAATGGCGGCATCTGCTGTTGAGCTCGGCGGCGTTAAGATTTCCAAAGAAGGTCAATTACCCACTTCTCAAAATTACTTCTTTTTTGAGTTCAATTGATCTTTTCTAATTTTGGGATTTTCTGTTTTTTATATTTTTTGGGTGGGGAATTGCTGTAATTTGAATTAGGGTATGACATCATGAGATATATTGAACTTGGGTAATTGGTAATCTGCTTTTTTGGTGTGTAATTTGGTTTATAATCCTTTATATATATATATTATATGGTGATTTATTGTGTTAATTTTTCATGGGGTTTTAGTCTTTTAGAAGGAAGTAATAATTGCTGAACAAATTATATGCAATTGAATTGTGGAGTCTGTACTCTATTGAAGAATTTGGTTGCTTTACATGGGAATGTAGTAAAGAATGGAACTACATGTATAGATGTTAATATACAAAAGAATGAAAGTGATTGTCATATGATTGAAGGTTCATTTTTTCGTCATTTTTGTTGTTCTTACTGTTCTATCCGACGGGGATTCAGACGTGGTGCGCGATGATCCCACAAACAATGTCCCTGATACAATCTTCACAAAACTTGGGATGCAACTACATAGGAGGGATCAACATCCACTTGGCATATTGAAGAATGCAATATATGATTATTTCGATACGAATTATTCCAACAAATTTGAAAAGTTCGAAGATCTTTGTCCAATTGTTCCCGTGAAAGCGGTATACCCTTAACCTTAATCCGTTCATTGGCAAGTTTTTTTTGCATGATTTGCCTTATTATACGCTTGCCTATGTTATTCATTATGTAGTCATGATTTCGTGTTTTGGTTCATGTGAAAGCGCTGTTGTTACACTCCATGCAAGGTTAAGCAGGGCTGTTTAGTGTAAAAGGCGGGTTATCTATATCCCTGTTCAAATGTGTATATGTGTTGATTTGAGCTCACTTTCCCCTAACCCCCCACCCCCTAAAAAAGTTACTTCATATTTGGATTAATTGCATGCAATGGAGCTTTGTCAGACTTAAACATGGGGAGGCTATGTTGTTATGAGGGCCAAGCTAGGCAGTATAAGTATACTGGAAAGTTAGGCTGTCAGTACCGGATCATTCTAAATGACTATGCACATTAAGGTTAAAGATGAGATAGCTATGAGCAAGATTACTAAAGCTGAGTTTTTGCTGTGGCGATTCATTGTTGTGCTGGTTTCTTTGCTTTATTCTGACTTCTCCATTTATTTATTTCCTTCTATAGCTTCGAGCTGCACACTATGCTTCTTTATAATGTTAGAATCTGTCCTTGCAGAATTTTGATGATGTCTTGGTTCCTGCTGATCATGTTAGCAGGAGTTATAATGATACGTACTATGTTGACTCCCAAACTGTTTTGAGGTGTCATACAAGTGCTCATCAAGCTGAAATATTGAGGAGTGGACACACTCATTTCCTTGTAACAGGAGATGTCTATCGCAGAGACTCTATTGACTCTACCCACTATCCAGTGTTCCATCAGGTTTCTTTTTTCTGTGGTCTTAAATTTACGGGTTTCCTACTGGCTTATTGAGTTACTTCACATATTTTTATGTACTATGGTAACAGATGGAAGGTGTTCGTGTATTTTCCCCAGAAGATTGGGAGTCATCTGGTCTGGATGCTACAACGTATACAGCTCAGGATTTAAAGACATGTCTGGAGGGGTTGGCACGCCACTTATTTGGTAAATATACACAAATTGTTATTTCATCACGAGTGTTATATTAAATCTAGTGAGATACATGCATGATGGGAGTAATCAAACTACATGTTGCAGCTTTGATTGGAATGTTATGTTAATGATGGACTTTTGAACGTTATATAACCCACTGAAGCTGCTAGGTGAATGATCTACAATTCCTTGTTATAATGTTCATAATTTACTTCTTCCATCTCTGCCTCCTAGACTATACAGGTTGCAGTTTATCATCACATTCATTTTTCTGAATTTCTCTATTATCCTTAGTTTCTTTGGGGGTTGATGTTTTAGAGGAACTACTTCTAGCTGTTCTGCTGATTCATCTTCTTTTTGTGCAGGTGCTGTTGAGATGCGGTGGGTTGATACTTATTTTCCGTTCACCAGTCCATCATTTGAACTTGAAATATTTTTCCAGGTATAGATAATTGTCCTTTTCATATATCTTTGATTATAAAATACTTGTTCTTTGAGCCTGCAATTTAGTTCTGGAAACACTGCAATAGAGAGCCTTTTGCTGTAGATGCTGCTGCAAAGCTTGCAATGGTTGTATGCTCTTTTTCTATGGACCAATAGTCCTAGATGCAATAGGATGTTATCCAAACCCTAGAAAGTCTTACACTGCAACCGCTTTCTCCTATACCCTCCACCATGGATACAAATTTCAAATGCATGACCTGCTGTAGGAAATGCATTGATAATTACTTGAATTTCTTCTTTGTGTTTGACTGGTGGTATTTTGCTCTAATGAGTTTATGGATTCTATGTTATTGAATTTGCATCTGTTTTCGTGATTATTTTGGACAGGAAAAGTGGCTGGAAGTGTTGGGCTGTGGAGTAATGGAGCGAGAGATACTAAAGAGAAGTGGGAAAACAGAAAACTATGCTTGGGCTTTTGGATTGGGATTAGAGAGGCTAGCAATGGTCTTATTTGACATACCTGATATTCGACTTTTCTGGTCAAATGATGAGCGTTTTACTTCTCAGGTGTCACCAGATCCCCAGTGCATATTTTTTTCTCACTGTGAATTTCACTGTCAATGTTAAAGCTCTATCCTTTGTTCGTTTGTAATTTTGTTGTTCTGACTGGGTATAAATTGTACAGTTCACTAAAGGCCAGCTTGGTGTCAAGTTTAAGCCATTTTCAAAGGTAATGTAGCTGGAAAATTTGAAATTTATGTGTTTTTTTCAGTCAAAATATACTAGATGTGGCATATGCTGATGTAAAATTTCATTTTTCTTGGTGAAAGAATTGTCATGGAAAATTGATGTGCATTTTAAAGCTGGTTCCTCACTGTTAAGGGAAAAGCAGAATAAATGTGTGAGAAAAAAATTGGCATATGCTTCAAAGCAGGTGTTTGGAAGCCTTGAGGTTAAGGCTTTGGAAATTAAACTCCTTGAAGTTATTTAAACAATTAAAGGGGAAAAAACCTTTCAGGATTCTACATAAAAGTCATTTCTGTAAAAATTAAGATTCATTTTGTTTTTTATGAGGCTTTAAAGAATGCTATGCTTTTTTTTTTCTTGCTTTGGTGTTTTCATTTTATTTTTCTCTAAGCAGTAAAATGGTGTGTATTATTATTATTGTTTCAAGGAACTGCTTTTTCTGATGCCTGAACAGTAATAATTTTGTATCTGTAGTTCCCTCCTTGCTACAAAGACATGAGTTTTTGGATAAATGAGTCATTTACCGAGAACAACTTATGTGAAGTGGTCCGAGGCATTGCAGGAGATCTTGTGGAAGAGGTACATCCATCTCATATTTTCAAGATTTATTATCCCTTTCATTTTAGTTTCTACTGACTAGCTAGCATTTTTGCCCCTCTGCTGTAAAGATGGCTGGTTAACCCAATGTTTTATTGTCTATTTCATATAGTGGATTTATAATTTGGTAATTTTTGTTTCACCTTTGGGAATTCCCGGGAAATATTCTTTTTTGTTGATGTGTTTCTTTAGTCACAGTTGCCAATACATAACTTTAGCCATTGATATCTTTAATTATAAACCATTAAGAATTTTATATATTTGTTAGTCTAAAATTATGTATCAAGAAGATTTAACAAGATCCTATATGTATGTTTCTCTTTGTGTGTAAATCACAAAAGACAGTCAAAAGTGAGTGTGAAACTGTGAATAATGCAAAAAGTCAAAAAGTCAAAACTTCTCAACTAAAAAGAAATGGAGTAAGTAATTTATTGCTTGTTTGCTACAAGGTTGTATATTGTGTTAATGAATGAGTTTGTGTATTATATCCATGGATATTCCCATTTGGATGAACATGGTTATGAATCTTCATCAACATATTTTTTTTCTTCCTGAGTTTTCATAACCACTCTTTATTACCTCTGAAAATGGTAATAATTGATAATGAAAATTTTGGAATAAGTACACATGCTTGTGTTGAATATACAATGTACATTAGTCAAAACATTTGCAGAGGGCATGCATGATGTGACATTATTCTCATTAAAATGTTTTCTACTACATATTAATCTGTTTCTATCACCTCAGAGGCTCAGTCTTTCTCTCTCTCTTTTATTTATTTATTTACTTTTGTGTGTAGGAAGGGGTAAAGCTCTTTTTGCTTATGAAATTAGGTTATGGTAATGTAATATTGATATGTTAAATTATTTTTTCTTTTCAGGTGCAATTGATTGATAATTTTACCAATAAGAAAGGCATGACTAGTCACTGTTATCGAATTGCTTATCGATCTATGGAGCGTTCTCTTACAGATGAGGAGATAAATGACTTACAGGTATATCTTATATCTTGTTGTATCTTTGACGATGTCTTTTTTTATTAAATGGAATGACTTCCTAGATTTCCCTTTTTTTCTCGTGTTATTTGGTTGTTGGGAAATTATAGTATGATTGTTGCACTACCAAATCTAAGCCTTCAGGACCATACTTAAACATTAAGCTGTAGATAGAGGAGTTTAGATGTGCTAAGTTGAATCCCTCTCAAAGAGTGAATATCTCCTTTGTCACATGATCGGCTTCTTTGATGACGAAATCCTTAGATCTCAATTCCCTCATAATTCATGAAGTTGTATTACAAAGACACCTAAGGGATGTTACTCATATACAACGGGAGGGTTAAGGACAAAAAACTTATGCTGTCAAGCTAATGTAACAATCTATCTAAAAAATAGAACTCTGAATTCGACAGTTCGCTTCCACTTGCTAATCAAGTACGCTCGTATTTTATCTATGCAGTCAAAAGTGAGAGAGGTGGTGCAAGATAAGTTGAAGGTTGTTTTAAGATAAGAATGTGGCGCCAAGATCTATGGCTTGTGATTTCTGCCTTGTAAATTTCTTCATTCGGTATAATCTATATATGAAATAAGTTCTTTTTGCTTAAGAGAATTCATTGGTAGCTTTCAGCTTATTAATTTTTGTGGTTTTACACATGCATGAGAACCCTTAGGATCAATTCTAAATTGAGTAGTAGATAATGTTGTACCAGTATTCTACATGGTAATGATTTTGGAATTCTGCTGCTGCTGAACAGAACCTATCAGTATTCTACACGACTACAGCAATACTGTTTCCTTTGCTATTTGTAGATGTCTGCTGTTTTTGAACCTGAATATTATGCATTGTAATACATGGAGTGGCTAACCTTTTCCTTTTTCTTGTTATATGTCATAAATGGTGCAAAGACTACAGAGTAATTTGTTTCTTTCGTTCTTTAGGTTTCTGTTGAGTAGCTTACTGATCCTTATTTGAATTTCATACATCATGTTAATATGCCAGTGGTTTGAGTAGGCAGGCATCACTCTGGGTAATATATGATATCTGTTGAATCAGTAAAATTGAAAACAAAAGATAATCTGGGCATTGAGTTTTACTCCACGGTCCGGGAAGAAGGAGGGTATTGTCGAGATAGAAACCCCTAATACTTCCATTTTTTTTCCTTCTGTTTTTAGGTGTAGTTTTTATCACATGGCCTTATTCACTTATCTATCTTACAGCCACCACTAGGCAAATAAAAGTGCTTGATGGGAATCCAAAGTGATGGAGCTTGCAAGTTCTGGGGAAGTAGGTGTAGGGGCCTCCATTATTATTTGAAGTTCTGCCAAATTAGCTGAGAGAAGAGGTAGGAAAAGCATCTTAAATTTTATCTTTGCTGGATTGTTTTTTCCTCTCTGAAAAAGTCAATTTTTTGCTTCTAAACAAATGATCATCAATTTTCTTGATCGTTAACTAATTTTAGATTTTGAACACGAATGCCAATCTGATAATGTTTATTCTAGAAACCAAAGTGGAGAAACAAAGTTTAGGGCAAAAAGAAACCAGAGGAGATATGAAGAGAAATTTAACTGTTGGCGATAAACCTTAAATCATTTATCAATGCAGTTGAATCAGAATGTGATGAGCCACCTTCTTCTATAGGTTATTGTGTCATTTCCTTCAACTTCTTCGCTCTCATTCTCCTCTCTTTAGCCTCTTCTCCCACCCATAATATCTCTCAGTGCTTCTTCTATAGCTTCATTCTGAATGAGGTCCTCTATCGAAGGTGTCCTAGGCTCTTTTTTTTAGCTCCAAAAGGCACACCAGTCTTCAAAATGAGTCACCAATTTTTCGTTATAAAATTGCTCAGCATAAATAGGCCACGTGACCATTGGCTCACTAGCTGAGATCCCTTCGAGTGTTGAATTTCATTGACTGCGAGTCACAAATGCTCTTATGGCTTCATGCTCCAAGATCAATACCTGTGGAACCATTTTCTTATTATTAGGCCTTTCCATTCTATCTTTTGTTCAAGTCCTGGTGGCATAACTTTTCACCGTTTCCATTTTCACCATTTCTCAGTTACCAGATGCATAGGGCTTTAGATGGTTGAATTTTAGCATCAAATTTCTGTGAATGTGTTAAGTGGCCTGTGTTTGCAGAAAACTAGAAGTATGCTCATGCTCATTAAGAGTTGGAAAAGTGTAAGCATGTAAAAACTGTTATCTTGAATATTGCATGGCCTAAAAATACAAAGAGTACAGTGAAGAAGGTAAAAGAATCTAAAGACAGGATGAAAATTTAAACTTTATTCTTTCTGTTGTCTGGAGTCTTGAGGTGATAATCTCTTAGCTCATTTATCAATGCACTTAAGTCTGAGTATGATGAGCCGCCTTCTTCGACAGACTTCCGTGACATTTCCTTCAACTTCTTTGCTCTGGTTCTCCTCTCTTCTGCCTCTTTTCCCACCATGATTTCTGTCAATGCTTTCTCTATAGCTTCCTGCTTGATGAGATATTCTAGTGAAGGTGTCCTACTCCACTTCTTAGCTCCAACAGAGACGCCAGTCTTTAAAACATGAGTCACCAATTTTTCATTATAGAATTGCTCAGCGAAAATAGGCCAGGTAACCATTGGCACGCCAGCTGAGATCCCTTCTACTGTTGAATTCCATCCACAGTGAGTTACAAAACCTCCAATGGCTTCATGCTCCAAAATTAACACCTGGGGGGCCCACCCCTTTATAAGTAAGCCTTTCCCTGCTATCCGTTGCTCGAATCCTGCTGGCAACCACTCTTCACTTTTTCCGTTATCATTTCTCACGACCCATATGAATTTTTGTCCTTAGGCTTCTACAGCCATTGCAATCTCATGCAGTTGAGGAGCTATGAGGCTTGCTGTGCTTCCGAAACAGATGTAAATAACTGAATCAGGCTTCTTTGAGTTAAGCCATTTCAAGCATTCATGTTCATCGATTGAAGCCTGCTTGCCTCTCTGAACCTTATCCTCTATGCTTCTATTGCTCAGTGAAACAGGGCCTATATTCCATGCCCTTCTTCCCAATTCTATTCTGAAAAAGTCTGCATAGTCTGGTTCCAATTCATAAAAGCTGTTAACAATCACCCCATAACTCTTGAGCTCTGATTCCTTGTAATTAGCTGTCCTTCTTTTGTATTCTGAATCCTCACTGCTCCTCAACTCCTCTGAGATCTGCAAACTTGTCATCTGTATCGCATGGGGAAAATAGGGAATAACAAATGTTTCTTCGTCAGAGGACACATTGTTAAAGGGCTCATGTAGCCTAATAACTTCTTGAGCACAGAGGGAAAAGGAGGAAGTCCCGTGGAAGACTAGCCTCGGGATGTTAAACCTAGCTGCAATGTCAGTTGTCCATGTGAAGAACATGTCAGACACAAGGCAGTTGGGTCGGACTTTCTCCAAGTACTGCTCGAGTTGCTCACTTAGCATCTCTGTAGCTTTGAAGAAGTTGCTCATTAATTCAGAACCTAATACTTGCTCCAAGTTTTCCATCCCTTCAGGTAGGCCAGCTTCCTGAGCCGGAAACCTGAAGGCTTCAATGTTAATAGTTGGGGCTTCGATTTCCTTTCTGCTTCCTATGGCCTTGGTGAAGGCGGCAACATTGAGAGGGGTGGTGATAATGGTTGCCTTCACACCATCACGAGCCGCAAAGAGTCTTGCTATATCAAGGGTAGGAATCATATGGCCGTGTGCCATGAATGGGAAGAGAACTACGTGAAGCTCTTCAGGTTCAGAACCCATTTTGCCCTCCGATTTGGTATATAATCTCTGGAATAAATGACAGTTGAGAGATGATAGAATGAGAATGAACTTGATGGTTCGTGTTTATCGGTATATATAATGGCTCATGTTGGCTAAAAGAGTTGTAATTAACTCTTTATCTAGGAAAGACTAGTCAAAGTTGACAGTTTAGACGTGCCAATGAGTTTATTGTATGCCTACATAATCGATTATGTCATCCCGTTTATTTTACTAACGTTATTACTTTGTATTATACAATCCTACATTAAATAATTGGGAAAATTGACTGGTTTTCTTTTAATTTTTTACTACGGTATATAATGATTTTTTTCCCCAAAATAAAGAAAGAGAAGTTGGAAGAGTTTTCGCTTCTGCATTCGTTGGCAGTAGACTTGGTTTTGAACATTGCACGTATTCTTTATTGTTTCTCTCACTAATGATAATTAAACTTATCACCTTTTTTTTTTTTTTTTTTTTTTTTTTTTTTTTTTTTTGACCTACATAGTACTAGTTTTGGGCTAACTTCTTATATTGTTGATGGAGGAATTTATATTGCGAGGTGACCTTATTTATTATTTTGTCAAGGGTGATCTGATATTCGCATTCGTAAGACTTATAATCTAGTAATAATTCTTAGGGGTTTTTGTAGAGGTAAGAAAAAGTCACAAGGAAGCACTCCGCATGAGGAAAAATAATTTTTAAACTAAATGGTACAACCTTAAATCCTATATTTATGACTTGAACAACATCTACTGTGAGAAGTTTAAGGTTAAGATAGCAGAAGTGAAAATCACCAAAGGATGTGTTAATTTGAGTTGCTAAAACAGTACTCGTAGTAGTTAGTAGCTATTTGCTGAAGTCTATACTATAATGGCCTGTGTTTTTAGAAACATGCATGATTCGCAACTATACCAAGTGTGTAAGCTCGTAACTTCATAAGAGTACAAAATGCTAGCATGTAAGGATTTTTCTCGTAACTTCAGCGCGTCTGTTGCTCATTGAAACAGGACCTATACTCCACGCCCTCCTCCCCAATTCTTTTCTGAAATAGTCTGCATAATCCGGTTCCAACTCATAAAAGCTGTTAACAATCACTCCATAACTCCTGGCCTCTGATTCCTTGATCCTGGCCATTCTCCGTTTAAATTCTGATCCCTCGCTTTTCCAAAAATCTTCTGAGATATGCAATCTTGTCATCTGTACCTTATGGGGGAGGCAAGGAAGAACGAATGGTTCATCGTCAGAGTACACGTTCTTATAAGGCTCATGTAATAATTTCTTGAGCACAAAGGGCGAAGTAGCTAATCCCATGGAAGACTAGCCTAGGGATATCGAACTTTGCTGCACTATCAGTTGCCCATGGGAAGAACATGTCAGCCACAAGGCAGTTGGGTCGAACCTTTTCTAAGTACTCCTCGAGCTGCTCGCTTAGCATCTCTGTACCTTTGAAGAACTTCTGGATCATCCCTACCCCTAATGATAGATCCGGGCTCTCGTATCCATCAGGCAACCCAACTTCTTTTGTAGGAAATTTAAATACTTCTATGTTAATAACCGGATCCCCGATTTTTTCACTTTCTTCATTGGCCTTGGTGAAGGTGGCCTTGTTGAGAGGGGTGGTGATAATGGTTGCCTTCACATTGTCGTGAGCGGAAAAGAGCCTTGCTATATCAAGGGTCGGAATCATGTGGCCTTGACCCATGAATGGGAAGAACACAACATGAAGCTCTTGAGGTTCATGAACATTCATGTCGATCTTTGTTTGCAATGTGTGACTATTGAGGGAAATATTAGTGGGAAAGTATGTTAGAATGATGTTAGATTACACATTACAGTATGTTTTATTATATGCGTTATGCGGTGTATATTTATGATCCATTATTTATCGGATGAATGGATGTCAGATCTTTAGTTTAGGAACTTTATTAGGAAGTTTGTTATGTAGCATATACTTATAAAATATATAGGGATGATAATTGATATAAATAAATTCAATTGTTGCTGCAAAAAAAAATCAAATGTAATTATAGAGGAGTACTTGTCTTTTTATTGACTGAGTTTGCCAAAGTCTTGTCTCTTCATTTATTGAGTCATTGACGGTCCAGAATTTGGTTTTGATTAGTGTATGCT